TGCACTTATTAAAAATTGTAAATGTGTTGTGAATAATCTTAAACAAATGTTCAAAATGTATTCAAGATTCGTATTGGATGATGTTTCTATTACTATTGTTAATTGTTCGATTATTTCAAATAGATATTTAAATGTTTCAGCTTCTAGTTCAAATGAAAATGATCCATTTATAGAACCACGTTCGAATTTTGATTTTGCATGAAATTGATTATGTAAATCAATATGAACAAGTAATATTGAACATATGAATTGACCAGTGAATTTCTTTTTATTTATTGTTATCAATTGTGTATTTGGATATGCTTCAATTAATTTAAGATATTCTATAGCAGCCAAAAGTTTCTGTTCAATATCCAATGCTTTTTCAGTTGGTAATACTGCTTCTAGAAAAAAAATTGAATTCGACAGGTATAGAAAAAAAAGCATGCTAAATCTTTCTTTTATTATGTTCTAATAGTCCTTTTTTAAGTAAGAATACTGGACAAAATAAGCACTAGTATTACATTATAACTTGTCTCGGATAACATTCAATTCTCTTTTCATAGATAGGTTTCGTGAAATATGGATATTAACAACTATATTAATGACTATATTTTGTTCAATTCAAAATCAATTGTTCTTACCAGTTCTATTTTGAACTTGTGTTGTGACATTGTTATCTGTAGTACTATTTTGTGGTATAGTTGTTGTTATAGATGATGTTTGATTTTCTTTTTGAAATCGATCTAACGTCATCGTTAGATGTTTGTTCAATTTAACAAGTAATTTTCTTATATCAAAAATATCATTCGTATTGAAAATTAATTTTCTTATTAATGGTAGAATATCTTTGAATGATGCCTTCATGACAGAAAAATGAAATAAAATTTTAATTGATTGATTTGCTGCAATTGGATCAATATCAGTTTGTATTGATAATTCTTGGCAATAGTCGGTTAATGGTTTTACAGATTTAAATAAATTGTGTGATCGTTTGTAAACATCGGATGAAAGACAGTTCAATGGAATTTGTTCAACAAGTTGATTTGTCAAATTGAGCATTTGATGAACAATAGTAGAATCAGATTTATGCACTGATTTGAGTAACATCAATAGCATAGTTATTAAAGATTGAACAGCAAAAAATGACAGTTCCTTTACTTGTTGTTCATCTAATATTTTTTCCGAATCGATCAAGGTTTCAGAAAATATTGAATTCATTTCATTTTCATCGTCTTTTAATTT